TGGCAACGTAGCATCAAGTAAGCAGTGAGTCCAAAGTGTACTTTTTGTTCTGCCCAGAGCTTCACCTGTCATGCAACATAGCAGTTTACCTAACCTTGTGATTGGTTGAGGTTGTCAAGGGCAAACACAGCCTGACAGGAAAAGCTGGGAACACAACTCTACTGACAGAAATGTAACTTGTTTCATAGGTGTCCCTCAAGGATGTATTATAGGTTATTTGTAAATGTCAAGAAGTAAATGTATGCAGATGACACAGTTATTTAAATATATTCAAATTCACCTCTTTAGTTAAATAAGTAAATATGGAGAAAAGTGCAGATTGATAACTGAATCAGGCTTGAATCGAATGAAGAGGAATCATCACATTCAACATGTTAAAAAATAAGTTGTAGTATCATTATTTGAGGTAATACAGAAATAAGAACCAGATTTCTATTTGCTTTTGTCGTACGACCTCCGTAAAGAAGTTTGATCATACTGCATTATCTGCTTTTCTCATATTTGTTTTGGCCAGTGACATTGGGCAGTATTTTAGAATATTCCATTTGAAAATAAGTAACACTAGCCTACACCCTACAGCGTACAGTAAGTGCACCATTAAACTAAACAATTGATACAATTGAGAACATTCTGTTATTTTTCTACCAAAGTTTCACCTTTTTCCATTAAAAGGTAGATTTTACAGGTGAACTCACTGTAAACTGTTTTCCAAAAAGGGCTACGAGCTGTTTATTTTGGATGCTTTTGCAAAAAAAATAAACAAATGTTGAGTAAATGCTCCCATCCAGAAAGTGTTGGTTTTTAGTGGAGCAAAAAAAGGAATTATGGAAATGCTGCAAATTCAGGGTTATTTCAGGACCAGTCGCAGCATAACAGGAAGCAGAGGATGATGAAGATGATAATTGAGCTTAGTCACCCAACGTAGCTTCGTTCAGGTTACAATGCAGTTGTTGTGACAGAGAAAAACTGCTGTGAGGTTTTCACCTGTCTACTTAAGCAACACAGGGCTGGGCATCAGGTGGGAGGTTTGCGCCATCATTCAAAGCCTTTCTGATCCCACCAGAAACTTGGTCTTAAAAACATTGCAAAATAAGGGTTAGCTAAGAGTGGGTTTATTCCATGTCTTGAACCTAGGACAGTATTTCAGTAGGCTGATTCATCTGTGTTACATCATAGTGGTGTCTCAATACAGGAGAAGCTGATTCATGTTCTGTCATGTAAACTGTGAAATCAAGGAGTATTTTACTCCATATAACTGTTAGGTTAGTTGAAAGCAATGATATTAAGTTTAAATAAAAACACATTAGGTTCAACTTAATAGTATTGCTTTTTAATGTAATACAGTTATGTGAAATGTGTTGACGTATAACACATTTAATTACAGCCACGTTTCCGTTTGTTCAGTGCACAGAGAAACCTGAAACAGAGGCCCAGACTAGAGCAGCTGATCATTTTCTCTCTCGTTGAGAAAAAAAGGATCAATACAGCAACCCTGTTAATGGATTCCTTCATCTGCAGCGTTCATTAAAGAACGTTTGAGAGAGAAAAACAAACAAATAGAGTTTCGAAGACAGGGGGGGGGATGGAATGATGGAGAATACTAAGAATGAGAAAGAGACAGAGGGAGCGATAAACAGAGACAGCCGGAGCGCAGGCTTCCACAGATATGGATGGTTTGAGGGGTCGATCGTTACCCAGACACCGCCTGCCTGCCTGCCTGCCTCCAATGCCTGATTGCCTGGCACACATTTGCATTAGAGTTGAGAGGAGCCGAGCAGAAGAGCACAGCCGGAGAAGTGTTTGATCTCTCAGACTCTGTCTCTTTGATGCACCATGTGGAAACACACCAGCACATTTGGAAACGAGGAGATGATGTTGGGTGTTAAGTGGATGTGTGTGTGTGTGTGTGTGTGTGTGTGTGTGTGTGTGTGTGTGTGTGTGTGTGTGTGTGTGTGTGTGTGTGTGTGTGTGTGTGTGTGTGTGTGTGTGTGTGTGTGTGTGAGCATGTGTGATCTCCACGAGAGAAATGACATATGTAGCCGGAATGACACTGCAAATCTGTCAGGACCTTGATTGCAGTCCAAATGAGCACAGCATGGGTTGCCCTATTTTGTTAAAGTTAAGTGCATTCAAGCAGGAGGGGAATGGAAAACTCTTGCCCGGGTTTTTTTAGGATTATCAAACATCACGGCGGCTCTGAAAAACCTACAACTGTCAAGCAACAGATTTACATCCAACCCCATCACCACGCTTGCTCAGGAAATGGCATTTCACATTTCCGTCTGGGTTCACATTCGAGGCGGGGCACCGAGATAATCTTCGGATTTCAACTGTGTGCGTGTATCGACAACTTTTTCTCCCCGTCTGCCTCTCTTCCTCACCCTCCTATCTCTCTTCTAGCCCTCGCTACCTCGCCTCTGCTCCCCTCCTATCTCGCACTCCACATCTCTTCCCTCCTCTCCCCGACCTGTCAGGATGATTTCAGGCTTGTTGCGTCTGGCCTGACTTAGGGTGGTAAGATTGAAGCAGTAATTACAACAGTCTCTGAATAGCTCTTCCTTTCACAGTGAAACCTCACTAACTATCATCCACAGGCTTAACCCGGCTCTCCATGCTGACATGCCGGGGCCGGACAACAGACTTGTGTTGAAAACCATTAACCTACAATTAAATTACAATCACCGTAACAAAGGACGGGTGACTTTTAAATCCACCAATTGAGGAGGGATTAGGAGTAAAGAGCACTTCTCTTGGGGTGTGTTATCATGTAAATATGACAGGGTGGATAAAGGAAATGTGAATTAATCAAATATTCCACGGTGTCTACCAGTGGGGCACTCGTTATGACTAGGTAGACTTATCTTCTCTACAAGTTAAGCCCAAGTGTATTACAGGGTGTGCCGAAGTAAGATTTGTCACAAAGGGAAAGGAGGTGTTGCTTTCACTCCTCTTCACCTCCTTATGTGAGACTTTAATGATAAACTGTAGTCCCCGGGTTGGATATTCTCATATCACAACTGGAATAGGATGAGGAGAGGGAACAGAAGTGTTGGATCATGAAGCTCACACCAATTATATCTGGCGCCATTTTAGAGAACCAGCTCCAGAAAGATAACATTATGTAGCCCCAAGGTGAGCAAAAGTGATACCTGAGAGGCAGCTGCCTGTAGCCACGGCAGGGCAATAAGCCAAAAATACATACCTTAACTTGTACCTTGGACTGTTGAATTGTCCAATGTATAGAAATGCATGACAGCAGGCTGTATGTAGGGACAGTGGGGCTCGCTCACAGTGACAATACCTATCGTCTATGCCAGGGGTGCCCACACTTGTTCAGCTTGGGAGCTACTTTTAAAATGACCAAGTCAAAGTGATCTACCTACAGGGCCGCCCCTGCCCAAAGTCATGTGGTGAGGCCCTGTGTGTCACGACGAGCGGGGGGGGGGGAACCTCGAAGCGGCGGAGAAACTGTGGCGCTTTTACACTTATTGTGCCGTATTTGCGCTTCAGATGAGGAGGTGAGGCCCCCCTTATACCCTTTCTTTAGTAGAATTGTATAAATTGGAAGGCTAACTAGGTAATCAGCTCGTGATTTGCAGCTGGCGCATGCGTGGTGAACTGCGTGTTAGAAAATATGAGATCTCAGACTGGCTTACCTGTACGTCAATCAAGTGGCAAATTCCATAGTAAGGATGGATGATAGGGTAACTTTCTTTTTTCAATGCCATGCGATCTACCAACACTACCTTCGCGATCGACGTATTGGGCCCCCCTGGTCTATGCGAATGCTAGCACGCTTAATATTACCCATGTTCAATGTCTTTAATTGTGTTGGCATGCTGACATATGCTCATTAACACTGATGGAAACTGAGGCATGTAGATACGCGGTTATGACCAAAATAAAAGGGAAAAATTCAAATATTGACCTAATGATGAATAGCAACGTGATTTCTCTATGTCATAAAAGGGAAACAAATTTGTTTACCAAATGTTATGGCAATCCAGCCTGAGGCGCTATATACAAAGTCATGGGATCACAACTTTTTGCTGCTCTATAACAAAGAAAGACTTGCATGGTTCGGGTCTTATTTTCCTTTAAGAATCTAGAAGGAAGTCTGTCTAATATAACATAATTTACTCTGATGAAAGGGTTCTTTGATACGCTGTGATTGTTGCTATTGACTGACATGCTGGCTCTTAATGCACACAAACCAAAGAAAACTGTCGAACACAACCTGAAATTGAGCAAGGAACACGAGAAAAAACCCTAAGGGTTTCTCAATATCGTGCAGCACTAAATCTAATAACTAAAAGTGGGCTGACCAGGGCTACCAAACGAACAATATTCACAAAACCCAAAGCTAGCATCTGGCTGAAAAGTGCTACATTTAAACTGTAGAGACAAACAATTAACATTCAATACAAAGTGAAAAATTCATGGTTCCCAAATTGGGTTTGGGCTTCATTGGGTTAAAACCATTTCAAGCTGTAGAAAGCGAGCATTCAAATCAGGTGTTGACAATAGGTATAACAACATAGAAAATGGATCAGATGAATAACAAATCGGCGCCTAAGGACTTCCAACATGGCCACTAAAAGATGCTCCGTGTCACCTTAAAGCTGTGCGAGGTGAAACGCCTGCTCAACTTTTGGCTCTGACACAGCAGAATGATGTCGGCCTTCAGTTGAACATCAAGGTTGTGCTGAAATGAAAGCAATTTGATATTGCCAGAGAGGAGATTGAGGAAATGAGATGGATGTTGTGAGGGGAGTGTGTGGGTGGTGGGATGTGAAAAGGAAGTCGTTGCAGGTAAAAGGCTGCATAGGTGGTGTGTTACGCTGAAATGGCACCCAAGCTTTAACAAGATACGAAAGAGATTGCTTTTTCTTAAAGAGAGTGGACTTGACACTGTTGGAGGAGGAACGAAAAGGACGCAGTTTAACCAGAGCAACAATGGAGATAGTGGGAAGTCTTATTTAAACAGATAGGACACTTACTTCATGGGTTTGAAGAGAGCCTGGCCGTAGTTCTGGAAGGTCATGATGAGCTTCAGCTGAGTGCCTCCAGACTTCATTGCTGTTGAAGGGAAACAGACCACACCGCCATTAACAATAGATCACCCAAACTGTGCATATTTATTATACAGTACGATAATTATTTTACCTAAGAGAATAGCTGAAGTAATGGGCTAACAGTTTGTGGTTTAACACAAATTGACTTGCCGAAGTTTCGTTTTAAAACACAAAAACTAGCAGATTTGATAAGCTAGAGAGCCAGTGGTGTTAGCTTGTTAGCCTAGCTGACCTTCAAGAATCAAGCTAGCAAATCTAGTGATATTTTAGGTTAGCTAAATACATTTTTTGTAATCAAAATGAATAACTGAATATTATAACTCACTGCCTTCAATCTTTTAACCAGTGTTCAGCTTTGGCCCAATCAATTTAGCCTTTTTTTAAATGTCATTGTACTGTAGCTATTAGCTTTTGTTAACCTCCCAAGCATCTCCACACTGAAAAGAACGATTATACAATGTCAGGAAATAGAAACATTGAACAGCAGAAATTCAATCAACCCAGTGAGATTTTTTAAATAGTAATTTTTTTACGTAATAATTAGAATTTATGATAATCTCTCTCTGTTTTGACAAGCTGGAACAAGTACATATTTAAAGATCTGCCACAATATTTTTGATACGAATTCACTGTAATTGCAGCTCCATATTTATCTTGAAAATGCCCTATTAGGCTGTGGAGTTCAAGCCGTTGAACCGTGCTTCAATAAAACTCAAGTCCATGGTCTTAAATTCCACTGTAAAAGCAAAAAACGTAGTCTGTCAAACAAACATGATAAAAATGAAAAGCACGGCCAAAGAAAAATATGTTCATAAGGTTCCATTACTTCATCTAAACCGATTAACAGGAAACAAGAACAGACATTATGTCAGATAGATAAGTCAAGAAGACACCATCCAAATATCCATACACAAATTTGATTATATTATGTTTATTTTAACTAAATGTAGTATTGACTGACATTGGTTTCACATTTCAGAGACATGTAGTACGCCCAAAGGTTGAAACATTTCCTGTGCAGTCTCGGTGAAGCACACTGTTGTGTATGTGCACTTGTGTGTAGATGTGTTTGTGAGTTTTTGCGTGTGTCGTAGCGCTGATGTTACAGTGTTTGTTTGATAGGAAGAGAGCGTTAGGGGGTGAAGGACGCTCACTGTACCTCTGCTGTTTACTCTTTTCTCTGTGTGTTCTCCGGAGGGTCCATCTCAATCTCCCTCTGTCCCTTTGTGTTCCTATTCATCCGTCTATCCTTCCTGTTTTCTCCCTTTTTGCATGTTATAATGCACTCTAAAAGCACTCATGGGGCTGGGGGACGGGATCTTTCAGGGCTGAAATACAGCGACATTTTCAAAAAAAGGGAGAGCAGCAGCTGTTCTCTTTTTCAGCTGATCGATCGAAAGCCGTGTTTTGGTGGCCTTTTGCCAAAGAGCAAGCCTCTCAATCAATGTTCTCATCTATTTTTACATATGGGAATCACGAGGACAAGAAACATTTTCACAGAGAGAGAAATTACAAGAGGAAAGATCAATGTCCGTCTCACCTCACCTGCGTCTGTGCAAAGAGATTTCCCTGCGGATGTTTGGAGGGACTTTAAATAAAGGCAAATATAACTGTAACAGACAGGAGCTGTGTACATGAACCATACAAATAACATGTTGCAATTAGGAAACTGTATTTGTCAAAACATGTTTACCTTCGTCCCAACAAATAATGTGTATCACATGTATCATAACTGCTGCTTTTGCACGCTACGTCCTTATTGATGAACGCTGCTGAGGTTAGAGCGTATAATACTTTGGAGCACTCCTATCCTTGAGTTTAGATAATCACCGACTGCTTTTGGCTTCTATGGGTATTCTGCCCCAGGCCTGTGTTAAAGCTCTATAATTACTGAGCCACCATGTATTTAGCTGGCTAGAGACGCTGGGAAATGCTTCCTCTATCCACCCAGCCCGAGAGACAAAAAGCAGGAGGGAGAAAATCGGGGAACAAATTGAGTATAAACTAGAAATGAAGGAAGGAAATTCTTCATAGAGTAACAACGCTGGGGTGCCAGTTTTAAAAACAGCGTATCCTACTCCCGGATAAGTATTTGGCGAAAGGTTTTGTCGTTTGGCAGATGAACATGAAATCTGCAATCACTTTTCAAAGCGAGCGCAAGATAGAGCGACCTTGAGTCGACAAGCACTCTTGGAATGTGGGAGCTGCACTGAACCAAAATAGGAATACAATCTCTCTTGGAATAGGAAAAAAAAAGATTCCTTATAACTGCCACAGTGTGGTTTACTCAGCTCTTTCAGGTATCTGTGTGCAGCGCAGGCTTTCTGCAGAAAGCTGTTTTCACCGTCAATCAAACGATAAAGCCACAGCGTTTGATTCGGATCAAACCTCGATGTGTAGCTGTGTGATTTGCATGGAGACCGGGTGTTCTGATATATTCTGCTGTGACGTCTTGTGGGGATACATGAGAGGAGATTGTGGTGTTTTATTATTTTCTCAGCCAGTTGTAAGGCATGAGAAGGGAGCAGGCAGAGCACATTCACAATCAGATTGTCGCAATAGCCTGCAGCTGACTTCCATCTTTATGCATACTTTCGTGTGTGTGTGTGAGTGTGTAGTGTATGTGTTCACGTGTTCAGTTACATTAGAGGTACTTGTTCCCCTTTGGCTTTCTTTTGATTTACAGTAAGTTTTGACTGATCATTTTGGAAACTGTTTGTAACATGTGGGCACTGTCCCCTGATGAAAACTAATGGATATTGGCTATGCTGCCCTTTTGGCTCTACAGATATTTAGATTTGGCCTGAAATGTCATATAAATTACAACAAGGCTGAGATTCAGTCAAACAGACAACACTGCTGACATTCTCATATCTTTACACTTTGACCTCTGTGCAGCAAACAGACACACCTAGCGACTGGATAACCAAAACGACACATCCATGAGCAAAACCAATATCTGTGTCCTTCAGTAGACAAGCAACCTTGATCAAGAGACTGAAACACTTAGTAGCTTAAAACCTAAACGAAGATCTTTATTATAGGCTGCGGAGGAAGGTAAACTATCAAACATCCAGTTGGTGTCCAATGAAAACAAATTATATCATCTTAATACCCAGAAATGTACACCATGACAACTTAAGAGCAGTGCAAACTCATCTCTGCAGTATCAGCTTGGTGCCTTCAGAGTCAAGTGTAATTTTGACCCTCCATTTGCACTGAAGCCCTCCTGCTGCTGACTGCTGTTTGCCATCCAGTAATCCCCCCCCCTCCCCTCCTCCTCCCTCTGTTTCTTATGACTCACCAACGCTGGTGATCTTCTGGCTGACCAGGTCCTTTAGGAGAGCGTCGATGACCGGGTTGTGCCTGGAGTACAGCTCGTATCGGTTAATCCCAATGTGGAAGCGGAGCCAGTTGGGGTAGGAGTCAGACGTCAGCTCCCCTGTTGGGCTGAACTCCTCCTGGTTGCCTTCAGTATTCCTGGGTGAGGAGAGGATATGGAGGAATGGGAATGTGACTTTTTTCTGTAAACTTGGGCTGTCCTCGACTCATAAAACTATGATTTTGTCATAGGAGTGTTAGTCAAAAAGTCTATTAGGTGATTTAAACAACAGCTAGAGTTTTCCCCAGAACAATCCAGCAGAAAGCACCACTTAAAATCTTGTGTTTACCAAAGATTTGTCAATAAATGGCTTGGAAATAAGCAATTCAGAGTGGAAAAAAAGCTTAAAAAATGACTCATCATCTCAAGAATTCTCAATCAAAACGACCAATTAGAGGAGGCAGCATAATGTAAACAGTGACAGGTGTTGTGCAACAGATGCACAATTACATTACTGTGATTGCACAGAACTAAACATAAGCCTATAAATGTGTGATTACATTCCCAAATGTTTATTTAAACTTTGCATTAGAGTTGATTATGTTAAGACTTTTAAACGCTTTTTGTTTTACCATGCCTGATCCTCTGCAGCTTTGGGGTCAAATCTGAGGTCCGTGTTGACGTTGAACAGCGTGTCCTCGTCGGTCAGAGTTGGCGAGGATCTTTTATATAAGGGGTGGTCGTAGAGAGCCGACAACCTTGAACCCCTCACCGGCATGTTTTTGTTCACGTCCTGGATGAAATGTCTCTTTCTGTCTGCGCGTTGCCCGAGATGTTCCAGCCTCCTGAGAGCCTGTGTTTTGTCTCCTGTGGCCGGGATCCTTTCCAGGGAGTGGGAGGAAACATTGGAGCTGGGCTCGTTGCTGAAGTCCTGGAGGATCCGCAGCGTGTGCTTGTTAGGCCAGCCCTGTTTCCCCCAGTTCTGAGGCTCCTCGCTCGGCGTGTGGGAGCACGAACAGCCGTTGTTCCCGTGCCTCTCCAGCTTTGGTAACAAGTCTATCATTATGTGCATGGAGCACGCAATCAGGAACACCATAAGGATCAAAACCCGGAATTTGCGCAGGAGGATCATCTTCATGGTCTCCCTTTTGAACAGATGTGAATATTTACTGCAAATTATGAGCACGCAGATGAACAGGCTCACTACATCGCTGATGATGTTTATTAGACTGGACGCCAATCTAATGAAATACACACTAAACAGGTAGGAGACATCTTCGCTTGCCGTCTTCAGTAGAGGATTCAGTGTGCAGCCTTTTTATATTTGTTCAACATCTGAGTCTTGCTTTAGTGCGCGCAGGAGATTTCAGAAGCGCAAAATCATCCGCGAGCGCCCAGGTAAAACGCGGTGAGTCGGTTCAGACCAACGGTGGATGTGCGCAAACCACATCATCTACACTGCGCAGATCTCCACCAAATACCTCACAAGCAATACAGAGTAAGTTACTCCAAAAGCAGAATCCGTGTCGTAGAGTGTGCACCATCCAACCTCGATCAGCTGGGGGAAAGCGTTCGGGAAGTGCAAGCCCTTTACATTTTTAAATGCTCTTCGGGAAAGTCCCCGCAAAAGTAGTCTGTGCTCTCATCCACCTCGCCGATCCAGAATGCGTAATATCTCTGTCACATCGACTTATCACCCGAGCCGATACGGAATAAACTGCACAGGTAGCAGATCCTCCCGTAGGGCAGGAGTTACAGCGGGATAGGAGAATGCACCTCTTGTAGCGTGTGTGCATCTGGGGTGGGTGTGTTAAATATGATGATGAAGCCAGGACTAGATCCAGCCTTTTGCGCAGCGTCACTGTGCGCAGATTGGCTGAACGGAGAGAGAGAGAGAGAGAGAGAGAGAGAGAGAGAGAGAGAGAGAGAGAGATGTGAAGCATATAACTTGCTCGTCTGTATTCCTCTTGGAATAAATTCTCCCTGCACATCCCGGCTAAGCAAGAAGAGGGCGTCTTTCCACTGGCCAACATTCAGTGGTGTAAAGTAACTAAGTAGATGTACTCAAGTACTGTACTACAGTACCATTTTGAGTGGGCTTTACTTGAGTATTTCGATTTTTTACTGCTTTTTACTTCTACCCCTCTACATTTGAGAGGTAAATAGTGTACTTTACTCAACTACATTTGTTTTACACCTTTAGTTACTTTACAGATGTGGATGAATGATGTGAAATATAATCAACTCTTAAATCAGACTTTAGTTCCACCTGGAGTAAATTCACAAGCTGCACGAATACAAAGTCATTCAAACTAGCTGCACCTTTACCAGCTTTGAGAACACTTTAATGATCAATCATTATAAAACATATCATATATATTATTCTGAAATGGACCAATCTGCACAATGACTACTTTTACTTTTGGTATTTTAAGTATATTTATATGCCAATGCTTTTGTACTTGAGTAACACTCCTACACTCTGGTACTTCTACTTTTTCTTAAGTACAGGATCTGAGTACTCCCCCCGCCTCTGCCAATGTTCCGCCTGGCTTTACACACTCAGCAGCCAAGCGGTTTTATTTTTTCAATCCTGAAATTCATCTCCTGGAATCCCTCTGAAATGTCTCCTCGGAGACGGCAGTCAATCCATCGATGATACATTAGACAGGCCTATTAGAGCGCTCATCAGTCTGAGGATCCAGTTCCATCCTGCACTGCTGCCACTCAGCGCCAATCGCATCTTCAATAATGTTTAAAGGCTGCATGAAATGAAAACCACAAGGCATCTTTCAGCGCTGCGCTTTCCAAAAGAGAACAAATATAATGACTTTACTCTTTTCTGCTGTGTTGACCTCTGACCTGCCCACCACACGAAGCACATAACCTGACATAAAAGCAAGAAATATTCAGTCAGGCACTTTTTTTTAACTGCTAATTGGCACAGCATAATGTCTGCCTGCACCCATGCTTCCCGGTGGTTGTAAATACGCAGGAGAGACAGGGTAATAAACTGCTTGCATTACATAGTATGGCGTATATATGCAGGAGTAAGTGATCATGCTGTCTGTGATTACCTCCTTAGATGAGTTTATCATTCAAAAAGAGGGAGATGAGGGTGGTTTAAGATAGGCGATGTGCGGGATTTACCCAGTGGAACAAAACATTAGCTTGTGAATGTTAATGAAGCTGATATAGAGGTACAATTAAAAACAGCAGCATAGAAATCCCTGCTATAATCTGAGGGGGGGGGGGTCGGGTGAGCCGGAGGTGATTGTTCTACTGCAGGATAAGATATGAATTAATCTCTATTTGCATAGCACTTTTCATACACCAGGTGCAGCTCAAAGTGCTTTCTCAACATCAAAAATTAAAACACAAAACAAGAAATTCATTTCAGGTTGAACGTTAAAACCTTTTTACACACATGCGGCATAAAAGCACAATGTAACAGTTCAAGGAACACAAGGAGGTAGAAGGTGGGATAATGAATAAATAAAAATACAACAAAATAAATAATGATCCCTCTCGGTAAAATGGAAGGAAGGCATAATGAGTAAATCAAATTAAATATTTAAACCTATAAAATAACAAGAAAACAAGTAATAAATAATGAGAATAATAAAGGTTGTATTTAAAGGGGACGTCGTTAATAAATCTATAAAATAAATAGATACAAATACATCAATAATAAAGTTTAAAAGACCAATTAAAAGGAGATAATAAAAAGCTAATCCTTTAAAAATGTCCGCTGAGTTATCACTCACTCCACGATCAATAAATTCAGCTCCACTCCATTGTCTATTGTGTTAGACATACAGTAGACGAAGCGGTGATGTGTTTCCCCCTAAATGTTTGGAGGGTTTAGCGACTGCTGACATTTCAGGGCCCTTTAACAGTGACTAATTCCCAACAAAGCAAAAGGTCCATCAGATCGCCTCCTCTGGTGTTTGATGTCAGTGATAGTGTGAAGACAAATTGATGCTTGTTTGCTGTCCAGATCTCACGCCAGCCACTGTAGCCCTCGGCCCGACTCTAGCCTGAGGTGAAACAAGCTGGGATGAATGTGTATTGATGTCAGTCAGACATGGATCACGGCAGTCGATGGGTCAACGGCTCCTCACAAGCTCTGCCTTGTGCAATTGTAGCCGGGATTTTCAGCTCTGAGAGGATTCTCGCCTAGCTATTTTTTGTTTCGTTTTTTAACTCTCATTTTATACGCTGTCAAATGACATTAGCGCTTCAGATGGGCTAATCGGAGTGGACTGTTGTGAGATGACAATTTTCAACTCCAAATGAATAATCTCACTCTATTACTGGGCACGGCACAATGACAAATCGCAGTGCAAGATAACCATACTTGTGGGATCTAGGTTTCCCAGTGTCCTATTCCCTCCTTTGTGCACAACTTGATATTTTCTATGACCAAGCCTTTTTTTTCTTTCTCACATTGCTCCTTCTGATCGCAATCTGTTACATAACCGGCTGATTGAGAATAACCATCCTACCGTTTCCCATGTGACAGCAGTATTAAAAGCACCTAGACGTTGCACAGACAAGATCAGGAAGAGGAGGAGGAAGAGGAGGGCAGGGCATCCAAACAGATAGCTGACTACAGCACAGGTCGTAAATACACAAGATTTATGTCCTCTACACTTCACAGTGTCTCTCAGTGAGATAACACGGGGGGGGGGGGGTAGCAAGATAGCATTATCCTTGTTCCTATCTGAACATGGAGCTCACGATGAAGGGTGAGCTCTGCTACTGTACAAAGTCTGCTCAACAGATTCAAGCAGAAGGTGGTACGAGTCTAAATGAAGAATGACAGTTTCATTTGTTGTCTGATATTCTATTTAGTGTATACGATAAATGGCAGACTTTTCATAGTTCTATATAACAACGTTTTAAAAAAAAAAATTTTGGTTGCTATTGTTTTTCTGTATTGTTTTTGTAGTGTTGATTTTATGGCATTCTCGACGATTACTAATACAAACAGGTTTGGTTGCATTTTATTGTGGTGTTGGATTCATGTCAAAGATTCAGGAAGTGACAGCTCAACTTACAATAAGTGGATTCAACCAGGTAGGTTAGCTTTCAATAAGACAAACCATTGTAAAGGATACTGCATTGGCTTCAAATAAGCTAACCATTTCTAAATTCCACGCCTCCACAAGGACTGAAAAATAACAAGGTCTTAGTGAATTGAAGTAAACAACAGCAAACTATTCCAAAAACACACAAACTCTCACACAACTTGTACAGCATAACCCAAGTCTCATTTATCAAGCCACATCCACACTACTGTACTTCCCAAACAAATGCATTTTCACTAAAACCTTACTATTATAACACTTCCTTATAAACAGTCTCACGCTCGCCCAGGCTGGATAGTTGTCCATCGTGTTCTGTTGTTGCTTCATTTGCCATTATTAATATTTTTGGGATTATTTGCCCACCTTTGAGGCATGTGAGCAGAACAAAGTTTTCTTCAATAGTTCAAGATAGTACTGTGTGAGTATTTGATATGCAAATGATCGTGTTGGGGGTAAAGCATTCCTTTATGCCTTTTTCTCACGCCAATGTATTATTATAACGACATGCCGCAGTTCTTCAGCAGCTTTAAAAATGTACATATAGCTAAAATGAAATGTGAAAGTCACCCTGAAGCTGCATGGAGAAATAAAATGCTGAGAGTTGTTCTGTGAGAAAATAAAGTGAGGGCATGTTGGACCTCTCGGCTCCACACACAGTATGTCCTGTTTCTATTCATACGTCCCCCTGTATCTCCAGCGTTCCAGATGTATTGTCTGAGTTAATTCATTTGTCTGAATTTGCCCTTGCCGTGACCAGGGCTGAGTGGGGAACAAGACTAATTTCCATCCCCGAGCAGCGGCGCACTCTCTGCATCTGATACGGAACATTTGAATGGATATTACAGATAACAATGCCCTCTGTTGGCCCCAATAAGCCTCACGCCGCTCCTCAGGCTCCTCGACCACCTCCTCCTCCTCAGCCCCTCCTCACTTCCATTTACACTTGCTTGGTTCAGAAGCCAGATGTGTGAACACAGACACATTTAAACTGGCATGATAATCACTTCTGTAACATCCATAACCACTGGAGACCCGGTGACACGTTGAAGTGTTCGTTGCTCTAATCCGAAGCGGCCCTGCTTTTATTTTCCCTGTTTGACTCTTCTAAATACTGTTTGCATTCTTGTGTTATCCCCTTTCATCTATTTTCTTATATTGTTTGAATAAATGATGTGTCTTTTGTTTACGCAATTATCACTTGTGGGTGTCAGCACAAAGCGAGGCTGACATTCTGCTTGATTGCATATTAGAGACGTGAGACAGAGATGTGTGTTCTCTTTGAGTTTGGTACTTTGTTATTACTTACAAAAGGATGGAAGTTGTTGATAAAAAATAATTGGCATCTCATATAGACTGAATATACTAGTCATAGAGAATTCATTGTTCCTCAAGATGATGCCCAAGGGCTTGAAAAAAAACTAATCTTGGCAGCTCTTTACAGATCAGTAGCTCTACATCAGTAATAGTGTATCAACAAAATGTACAATGTATTCCTTCAGAATTAATTATGCCAAAACAGTAAATTAAAGTAGACTGTTTCGTTCTCATAAACGCAGTCAGTTAGCCCGATTTTAGTGGCACATTATTCTACACAAAAGTACCATAAAAGAAACGTTACATTTAGTGTTATAAACCATATTGGATAAACAATGTTGTTAACGATTCCCCAAAGATATTACACTTTATGCTTAAGGGGATA